AGCAATTTCATTTCTTTATTTTTCTTACCATCTATGTGGTTTAAGTTCACATGCTTTTCTTTCGCTCGATTTGTTGCTTCACATCTGTTATCCAGAAGATCTCGGGTTTCCGGGAAGGTCGGCTGCCATGTGAAAACATTGCATTTTGGAATGCTAGATGAACTGATTCTTCCTGAAATCATGAAACAGTTCTGCTATAGGAGGGAGCATTTTCCAGACAAAATTAGATGGAAGGCTTATTGACCTGGGACAAACATAGTTACTCATTACTTCAGAATAAGGAATCTTCTCCGCATCGATTTGATTAGAGTAAATAAGCCTTTTTGTGTCCTTTTAAGGTAGAAGTGTTAAAGATAATTCAAACGCATTCCGATGCATTGCTTTTGCATCAGTTTATCAAAACGTTTTCAAACAGTTTAGAAAAATGTGCTTTGAGAACAACTTCTATTAATAGTATGAAGGCTGTACCTTCACCAATGACATTATCAAGGATAGAAAGAATAGCACAAATTCTTCGTACCTTAATACGTTAAGTACGTTAATGGTCTCATGCGCCAGGAATACGAACATTTAACACAGCATGAACACCTGCGTAACATTTAAGCACCTGGTTGTTGTCGGCACAGCTAGATTGCGCCCATTCTGGTTAGTTGTGGCCAGCTATTTCGTAGGTCGGATTTCTTGTAAATATCGTGAGAAGCCCTCGAATATAAATTTGTTCAAGAGACTCCAAAGATTTTACTGCAAGACAACGGACTACTTCTTTGGCAGCTATTTCTTTCCTCATATTAGGCAAAAAATGATGCTAGCGTGCTTCACGATTTTGAAGTGAAAGCTTTTGGTGGCAATGTTTCCACAAAGGTATGCAAGTCCGACTCAATTTTTATGAAGCTCCGATAAATTGTGTTAATTCTTGTGATTAACATGGCGCACGATGACCGAAACAACGCCACAACAGCACAATCTTTTCCGCTTAGCGGAGCCATTACCAAATCATTCTTGGTGCCTACGTAGATGGCTTTAGTGCCACAAATTACCTTTCTTTGTTTGACTTTTCATTAATTTCGCTTGGTCTTTTTTCTCAAATAAGAATGAAGATTTAGATGGAAAATAATTCTTAGAAACAAGGAATTCTGAAAAAGAGATGAGATGCTTGTTGAAAGCCAAAGCACTGGTTTTTATTTCCACTTCGACCTTGCAAACTTGATCATTCAACAATAACCTGAAAAAAACGCTCTTTGGTACAGTCCTTTTAAGTGTACACTGGAAACAGATCCCCGTCTGAGTAATTCTTCATGAAGGAAAAGAGCTAGACATTTTGACCAAGGAGGTCAACTAAGTGTAAATTACTGCTAAAAAAATCACCAACCAATCCCACGGTCATCGTGGCAGTAAACCAGTCATAACGTGACAAATTCACCCACTATATGTGATGATTACATAAATCCCTATAACGTGGTTGTCGATATTCTCAATTTTATTCCTTTATTTTTATTCTACATCACCCGTCTTCCCACAGATCTTCCTCACATGAGGGATCCAGACGATGGACTACCGGTTTCCGCTGCGCCGACTTAGCACATAATTTCTGTATTTGCTAAGCATTTTCATGCATGTGTGTGTGGGTGCGTTCTCGCTTATGCGGATTGTATTCTACGAGTTAATTCGGCCTAAAGCCTGCAATCAAGTGACCGGGAAGTATATGGTAGGCGGTTAGAAGTCGCCTCCAACAAATGAGTTCCATTTCCACTCCGGGAGAGCTTGGCAAGCTACCTGCGAGTATACCCAGCCCCACTTTCAAAGCCAAGCAAGCTATACGTGGGTATCAAAATGCTAAACACAGTAAAAAAAAAACAGCCCTCATTTCCCTGAAAACGAAATAGCTCCCAATTTCACAGAATTGCGTAGAACGAATTAGGTTGCTAAAACCTCAGGCCAAATGGAAGCTGCCTGCATTTCGAAGAAATATGGTGACGACCTGTACCTACAATGCACGTACACTTGCATGCAAGTCCTCGACAGAAGACTTGCTCATGTAAGCAAGAAGGATAAGATACGACGACATCGGTCTGGCCGAGACGAGAAGAGCCAGGCCAGACTTTCAACGCCGTCTATGACACTGGAAAAGAACTGTTCCTCGGAACACGCGAAAGTAGAGCAGTCGGTGGCGTCCCCGTTCTCGTCAACATGAGTTTGGCTATGAACATCGATTCATTCGAACAACTTACAACCCGAATCGGACGCTTAATATTAAAAAGATGTGGATCAATACCGGCTTTGTCAATCTACGCGCCGACATTGAACTATGACGAAGAAAAAATTGAAGCGTGCTATTTGGACTTGGAGAAGTTCTACAGCGAAGACCATACATTCTTCAAGGACATCATTGGAGATTTCAACGTTAAGATTAGAGCAAGAAGAACGTCTGAATAACGTCACATTGGAACTCACGGATTAGAATGGAGCGAACAGGGTGAGCGGCTATCTGAGTTTATTACGTCGACCAAGACTATCCATGGTAACTTGCAATTCCAGAAGGACCCCCTCAACGCTGGGCGTTGGAGTCCCCAATGGAGAGTACCATAACCAAATAGACCACAATATGGTAAATAGAAGGTTTTGCTTAGCCAATGTCGCTGTTGTTCCAAAATTCCACACGGAATCAAACCACCGCCTCCATCGTGCAAAATTCTATTTCATGCGGAAGGGAGAAAAAACCGCTAAATTCAAAAACCGAGGTTCTAGAACCACCGTAAACTGGGACTTATTCAATTCATTAATCGGATGTTGGGAAGATGCCGTTGTCGATAACATCGACGAAGAATACGATCAGCTCATTCAACATCACGTTAGCGTTACAAAAGCTGAGAGTTCGAAAGCCACGAAGAGACGTTTGTCTCCAGAAGCACTCGAGCTGACGCGTCAGCGTGGAATCGCACGACCTGCAGGCAACCGCGAACTAACGTCCAAACGTGCGAAGCAATGTAGACAGGCGACAAAAGAAGATATTAAAAACAGAACAGCAGCAGTGATGGTCAGAGCTGCAGAGCCCGGGAAAAGCATTCGCAATGCCCATTGAAGCTTCGCCAATTACATTCCCAAAATTATTGCACCCCCAGGCCCAGTTGGAACAGTTACAGTGTCCAGAAAACCATTGGAGAAAATCATTCATGAATACTACCCAGATCTCTTCGATAGCCACGTCCACCTTCCGTTATATGAAATAAAGGAGGGTGGATATGTTGTACCACCTCTTCTCCCTTCCGAAATCCGTCTTGCCATTTCGTTGGTGAAAAATCGAACAGCACCAGCGGACAGGATAAGATGAGAGCAGCTGAAGAACCTTCAGCCAGTCCTCGTAAGCACATTGGCTCGGCTCTTCACACATTACCTGTCTGAATCCCTACTTAGTGGAAGACCAGCAAAACTGTGTTGTTGTTCAAAATGGTGGCCTACACGATATCGGCAACTATCGCCCTATCTGCTTGCTGTCTGTCGTGAACAAACTTTTCACTCGAGTCATCCTAAACAGGATTGACAGAACACTGGTCGAATGACAGCCATGTGAGCAAGCAGAGTTTCGAAAAGGGTTTAGCACGATGGACCGCATCCACACGGTGACACGTCTCATTGAAGTATCGCGAGAGTACAAATGACTACTCCTGGAAGCCCTTGATAGTCAAGGAGTCCCTACTCAGTACATAAAGATTCTTTGTGAGCTGTACAAAAATCGCACTATATAAACGTTGACGTGAAAACAGGAGTCAGGCAAGGCGATACTATGTCGCCAAAATTATTTACCGCCACCCTCCAAAACGTCATGCGAGCACTGGAACCGGTCAATATGAGAGTGAAAGTCAATGGTCGGCAGTTAAATTATCTCTGTTTTGCTGATGACATCGTCATTGTAACTCCAAACATTAGCAAAGCAGAATGTAGGCTGGCCGACTTTGATAAAGCCTGTGGGAAGATTGGTCTTCGACTAAATCTCACAAAAGCGTTGTTCATGAAGAACGGATGGGTTTCCTATGCCCCGTTCACGCTCAAAGGAACGAATGCCTTCGAATGCTCCAGTCATGTCTATCTAGGTCGGAAAATCGATATGATGAACGACCTAGATGCAGAGCTGAGCAGAAGAAAACGAGCAGCTTGGGGAGCTTTCAAGAGAATCGAGGATGTGGTGAAGAGAACAAAGAACACCCGACTCCGTGCCCACCTTTTCGACTCAAGGGTACTTCCTGCCCTAACGTTTTCGTCAGAAACCTGGTCACTGCGTAAGCAGGATGAAAGATCACTCAGTGTTATCGAACGCGCAGTCGAAAAGACGATGCTAGGAGTATCCGGTTTCACACAAGTAACGTACGGGATCCGAAGCTCCGACCTGCGTCAACGATCAAAAATCAGGGATGCCGTTCTCTACGCCACACGATCGAAGATAAGGTGTGTCGGAGACGTAATGCATATGGATGACAACCGATGGACAAGAGCAGCGACTGGATTCGTCGGGATATCAAACGCACTGCAGGAAGACCACCGACCTGATGGTCAGAGTTCTTCACGAAGAGCCTAGAAAAAAGATATGATACTCGATGAGTTCCTAGAGCGAGCAGAACCCACTGGGCTATTCTTGCACGCGACAGGGAAAAATGGAAGATTTAGTGGCGTCCGCTCGATTCACTCGACGATCAATGGGTCTACAGGTGATACAGGTGATCACCCGTCTTCACATCTGCTGTGCGGATCTCAGCAGTTCTCACATTCGATGTTTCCTATTTCTTATTTTCGATATCCCCAATATCTTGGTTAAACATAGATGAGTAAACTCAAAACTAAATTACTTGGTCAACCATTCTTTTAATAGAAAGGCTCTTAATAACAACAAGATATGGAGTATTACCATCGAATTTCATATCATTTATCATCTCTCCTTTCGCCGCACTTTCACTTTTAGGGAACCGCGACTGTAAGCAGCTCCATTCATTTTCTTCCCCATCCAACAAATGTCTCACTATCTTATAATCATAATCTTTGTCTCCATGGTCTGTGTATTCGCTAATATTTTTACTAGACCATGTCTGCCAACAAGAATAAACTATAGGGTCCATTACACATGTCTAGAAACGGAACAAGGTTACGTTATGATCCACATTTCTTTTCACGCTCCTTCAGTTGATATTTTGAAAAAAAAATGTGCCAATCTGTAATATACAACAATCTAATAAGAATATATAGTTTACTAATCTGTAAAATAAGTTATTTCTTAAACAAAAAAATCTCTTAGGGAATGAAGTTTAGAAATTTAGGTAAATACAATGATCGGATAGCATTACTGAGAGGTGAACCGTCATCATTCGCACGTAAAGGATTTTATGATCGATTATTCAGGTGTTTAGTTTGTTACTACACAGTTCTTCTTCGATTAAGAAATCCACACGGCTGCTACTTGCAAGGAAAATCATGCCCAGCATCCTTAGGATATCAATCCCTTAGGGGATTCTACTTTATTAAGCATCGCTTCGTGATTGAACGAGTATCTGGCCCTTACAATGACTCGCGGTAGCCTACCCATGTATAGAGTCAGTCCTGTTATCCTCTTACACAAGTACACTACTAATTTTCCAACCGTGGAGGGACAGAAGACTTCGTGGGCTAGTGCGGCGAGAGTCGATCCCATTCGTATTGCACGGCGCCTTCGAGCACTGCCTGCCCTACACGCGAAACCGACTATGACTAAAAAAGGATAATGCTCTCAGCGTTAATCAATCCCTGAGGGATGCGCCATGCATTCGACTTCATAAAGCATCGTTTGGAAGTGTTTGAATTCATATCTGGCCTTTACGATGACTCGCAGTGGCCTAGCGATGTATCGAGTCAGTGCTGCTATCCTCCCAGACGTCCAATTTTCCGACCACGGAGGGATGGAGGACTTGGTGGGCTATGGGTGCGAGGATCGATTCCACGTGTGCGCTGCAGGGCGTCACAGACCACTGCGCCACGCACGACTACAACTAGGGTTCAACAGTTCCAGGAATCGAAATTCATTTTTAAAAAAACAGTCCTTACCGGGGAGTAGCGCAGTTCACCACCACACCATCCGGGTCCTTCGTTTTGCCTGTCTGTCAGCTAGTTCTATTGATCTTTTGCCATCAGCAATCACCCGTCAACGGAAATGATAGCTGAGAGACAGGCAAAACGAAGGACCCGGATGGTGTGGTGGTGAAGTGCGCTACTCCCCGATAAGGATAATAGCACGTTCGTTCCCCACCGCATACACCTGCGGTCCGGAGTTTTGCAAATATCTCAGCATTATATACGAGTTATATTTCGGAACATAACCTGCCATTGAAAAGAAAAAAGGCAGTAAATAAAGGGGTTAAAAAAACAGTGTTTTTTGCATTGAAATGTTCAAAGCGCATAGACTGCATGGAATTATGCAAATGTTTATATATGCATATTTTTTTTACTTTAATTCCTGATGCGTCATCACTTCTACTGTGCATATATCAGCATTTCTTCAATGATTCTGAGATATTTTACGAAACTCCGGACCGCAAGTGTATGCGGTGGGGAGGAACGCGCTATTGGCCTTTTCGGTGAGTAACGCGTTCACCACCACACCATCGGGTCCTTCGTTTCACCTCTCTCTCAGCTAGTTCTATCGATCTTCGCCACAGCAATCTCCCGTCAGCGGGATTGACTACAGCCGCAGCTTAACTGGGTTCGTTGCCGATTTGGGCCTCCACATCAATCCCCGCTGACTGGTGATTGCTGTGGCAGGGATCGATAGAACTAGTTGAGAGACAAGCGAAACGAAGGACCAGCATGCTGTGGTGGTGAACGCGTTACTCCCCGGAAAGGACAGTAGGGCGTTCGTTCCCCACCGCATACACCTGCCGTCCGTGGTCCAGTCCCCTGTTCTTAAAATCTTAGAGACAGTCGAGCTAAAGAGTTCCGACCTGGACTGGAAGAGGACGCTTGTGAGGAGGTCGAACCAGTACCTTGGTTCCTGATGGACATCATCACTAATCACTGCGCTACCCCCACCGCTCCGCAGTAAACATGGCATAGTATAAAATCGGACTTTTGAATAATTTTTCCCACTCCCAGCTTTGTGTTTCATGCGTGATCTTCAAACATTATGAGTAAATCACCTACCACCATCCCGTCGATTGCCAAGTGGCTCTAGAGGACGCCAGTAAATTCGTGCTAAGCGTTTGACATCCCGAGGAATCATTTAGCTAACAACTCTTTTCCATTGGCTGGCACTACGATGCATTACGAGTTTAGTCCACCTTATCCTCGCCAAGGGAGGGTGTGGCGCTGTAGTCACAGGCGCCTAGCACTGCACATGGGACCGAACCCTGGCACTAGGCCCACGAAGTTCTCCATCCCTTCGTGGTCGGCAAATTGGTACCAGACTTGTGTGGGAGGATAGCAGCACTGACTCGATACATCGGTAGGCCACTGCGAGTCATCGTAAAGTCCAGATATTAATTCAAACACCTCCAAACGATGCTTAATGAAGTCGAATGCAACGCACATTCGTCATGGGTTGATCAACGCCGAAAGCTTTATCCTTCATACTTTAGTCTTGATAACTTGGCATATACAACGGCATCTTTGGGTTTTCATCGTTGGCGCAGCTCTTTGGAGCTTTGGACGCTTCTGTGGTACTGGGATAGTCCTAAAATACTGCTTTGATCTGCCCACTCGATAATGCTGAGTGATCTTCAATACTGATCACGAGTCGAAAAGTAGAGCACGGAGTTGGATGCACTGTGTTCTCTTCGCTAAAACTTCCTTGCTTTTGAATGCTTTCCATGGCACCAGCTTTCGCCTTCTCAACTCTCAACGTTGTTCATAATCGCAATGATGCTGAAGTATTTGCAAAACTTGCACCGCTGGCCAGGTCGGACCGCGATTATTCTTTCAGGTGGTCATAGCGTAAAAAGGTTGACTAAGAGAAAGGCAGAACGACGGCATCAATGGTGCCGTGCGTAACACGAACCCAGAAAGGGTAATCGGAGTACGAACCGGCCTCGGGTCCAAGTTTTGCAGATATCTCAGCACCGTTGTGGCTGTATTTCACTTTTATTTCATTTATTTCATAATATCATGCTTTGAAAAAGTAATGGACGGTGGATAAAAGTTATGTCTTGTTCATGATGCTAACTTCAAGGCTCACATATAAATACTAGCTGAAGCATTTGGAGATACTCATTCCGTTGAGCGTGAGTAGGAAGCATGAAACCAGTTCGTTCTTCATGGACATCGTTTTTGCGAAGTTCAGTCGAGAAATGAGTAAATGCTTATTGAAAAAAAATTATCGAAAAGTAATCCGGTGTTTTCTTCAATAAGCAGATACGAAGTTGGTATTATAGAATTCATTAGGATACAATGGCTGACGTTTCGAAGGTTTCACCCTCTTCAGAGCCTGGAACGGCCAAATCGAGATGCGATCTGCTCAGCCAAGCACTTTCATAGCCCTAGCGAATAAAACTTAACAAATAAATTTGTATTCGCATAAGAAACACCTTCATTTAAACCCCCACCGTTTATTCGTTATAAGTATTCTAATTAGTTGGTGGACAGCAGCCGCTATTTAAACAGCCGAATATCTCTAAATGGTGTGAAACAGAGTGATTCAACAAAATCCGTCCGTAAACTGGCAAAATTCCAAGCTCAACCCATGTGCTAAGATACTCGTGATAACTATGGATATTCAAATCTTCCATCTTTCACAAGCATTTTTTATAAAATTCTTCCCAATAATAAATACTTTAGAGTAGGGAATACAAAGGCGAAGCAAGGATCCTTCACTTACCAGCCCACCTATGGGTACAATCCAAACTTGCCGCAAAACGGGCCTTATTTCATCTACCGTCACCACTAGTTTCAATAATAATATCGTCATGCAATAACCAAATTGTAGTTGTTCGTTATAAGAGTTTAATATCATGAAAAATTGCATAAATCTGGTTTATTGTTAATCTACTGTTAACAATAGCATGCTTGGCTTAGTAAGCAACGTACACGAAAGAGATAGGAGGTGAAAGAGATGTTCAGCAGTTGATATTTCGGCCTTCCCCATGAGTTACTTACATGGATGCATGGATGGCCAGAGTTTGAGAGTAGAGTATTTCTCCAGCATATTAACCATTCGTATCATTCTCTCATGCGGACCTCTCTCATAGAGTGATGTCATGCCGGTTAGTCACGAGGCAACGTGGCGCGTCCTCACTTGGCAGATAGGCGTTTAATCGCGGAATAAAAGCCGATTTTGCTTGCGTAGAGGTGGCATATACCTTCTGCGTTTACGTGGTTGCATCCATACATGTGTGCATAGCTTTTTCCTGGAAATGGAGACTGTATTTTACGAGTCAGTTCGGGAAAAGAATTCAGTCAAGTGACTGCGAAGTGTATCAGAGGCAGCTAAGATTCACCTCCAACAAACAAGCTCCCCTGTGTTATCTGAGAGAGGGAAAGAGAGAGAAAGAAAGAGAGAGAGGAGAGCTATCTATGAGTAAATCCAGCTTCTACTTTTGGAGCTCAGCAAGCTATACGTGGGCATGAAACGTTGAACACAGTAAAATAAACGATCGTTGTTCCTCCTACTTCTAAGAGTCCCGAAAAGGGAAGTTGAGGACAGGAAGAAAACGGAGAGGCTGCTAATATCTCAGGTTCTTTTTAGGCTGCCTAAATCTTAAAAGACAAACATCGAAGAATTTTCTCGCAATGCACACTCAGCTGCATCCGACTGCTTCATAAGGAACCTCATTGTGCAGGAAAGAAGGAAAAATTGTAAATTTATCTTCCTGATAGAGATGAAAACACACGGCTCATTTAACGCAGTATGTGACCTTGGAGAAAAACTATTCCTCGGAACACGACACGACGGAAGAGTCGGTGGCATCTACGTTCTCGTGAGTACGAAGCTGGCCATGAACATGAATGAACGAGTCGATTCTTTCGTACACCTAACATATAAATCAGATAAAGAAATCGTACGTTTCTCAACGTCATTATCAGAAATTTTAACATTAAATTGGACCCTAAAAAATGTCACACTGAAACCAACGATTAGAATGCCTGTCTGAGTTTATTATTATGATCAAGAGTGTTCTTGTTTACTTGGAATTCCAGAACCACCACTCTCAAGGCTGGACGTGGAAGTTCCTCAATGAAGGGTGCCATAAGGAAATAGACCACATCATAGTAAATCAAAGGTTTAGTCCAACCGATTCTCAAAGTTCCACGTGAGACCAGACCATCGCGTTCTTTACGTGAAATTCCATTTTTAGCGGAAAGGAGAAAAAGCCGATGTATTTGAAAAACAAAAATTCTCGAAACCACCATGAGTTGGAATTTATTTATATCCTTAGTCGGCTCTTGGGAAGATGCCGTTATTGATAAAATCGGCTAGGGATACGATTTCTCCGTCCAGATGGAACAACTACAGCTTTCAGAAAGGTGATGGCTAAAATTATTCACGATTTTGACACCTGCACATTGTATAGACATTTGCACATATGTTGATTACTTTACTACCAAGGTTAAACG